ATTTAATATTTATTAATATTGATATAGAAAAATTTTTTAATATTGATTTTATAAATTTATACTAAACAATATTAATTAAAATTTATAATTAATATTTATTTTTTTATTAAAATATTTATTTAAAGCAATTTCAATTATATTTATATAATTTTTATATCTTATTTTTAATTATTATAATTTTATTTTTTTAATTTTAAGTAAATATTCATAGCTGCTCAATATTATTTAACTGTTATATTTATTTAAAAAAATTTTTTTTATATAAGTTAAATAATTATTATAAGTAAATTAACATTTAACTTATTGCAACTATATATATTGAATGTTATTTTTTCTAAATATATATCTTGCAATATATAAATAAAAAAAAGATATTTATTTATTTTAAGAATATTTATAATTAATTAAATTTCCTTTTTGTACATATATTTAATTGTTGTTACTAGTTTTTAATATTTTTTCAATTTATTATTTATACGAATTAATTTAGAATATTACTTTACAATTTATATATTGATATTGCAATAAAATTTTTTAAAATTCAAATTTAAAATTCAGATTAAATTTATTAATATCTATATTTTATAGTTTTTAAAAATTAGTAATTTATTATTTGTTTTTTGATTTAGTTTAATTTTTTTTTAATCAGAAAAACAGGAATTAAATGCAAGGCTTTATTTAGATAATAAGCTTATTATTATATTACATTAACAATTTTTACAGTAAGATATAAATTTATTGTTGCATATCATAGCAAAGCTATTTACACAAGTTGATACCAAGTATGTGGACTTATAAAAATAGTACTAAATGCCTAATGCGTTCTTAATTTAGTCTAATCCACAAGATAAAAGCCGAGGACAAAAATCACAAAAACATTCATCGAGAATCTACTTCTTTACACGTAAATTAAGTAATTTGTACCTATCCAAATTTGGCTATTTACAGTACCTATGCACTGATCACCAGAAATCAAACCAAAAAAATTGACACTCTGTATACCGTATTCGGTTGAATGACACTCTCTCATCAACTAATTTGGGTAAAAAAATTTTTAATACTGTAATGAAGACTCGTAGAAAAAATTGCACCAATGCCTGCAATAATTGTAGAGAATTACACCGAAGATGTATTAGAAATTCCGGCAGTTCAATATGCAATAAATGCTTGATTCATAATATAGAATGCGTTTATAGACTACAGAAAAAACGTGGTCGTCGTAATGCTCCTTTTTTCTTCGGAGATAAAAGCACCCGAGGCATAATTGATTCTTTGGATAGCCCATCAAACTTTCGTAAATCTTTAAACCTATTTTAAATTATGTGCATTGAAGTTATACAAAGATAGATGCTTATTTACTAATGAGTTTTTTTACTATAGGTCGTAAGTAAAGCATATTTACATGAGTACAGAAAAGGTACAAAAGGTACTGCTTTATTCATAATTTTTTTATCATAGGTCGTAAGTTAATATATTTACATTTTCGTAAATTCTAAGCTGCATGGAGAAATTTTACTTAAACTTGCTTTCTTATAGTTCGTAAGTTAATCTTAACATTATTACATGTAGTCAATTCTAAAAAATTCTAAAAAATTCACTGTAGCATTATTTGCTTCGCAACATCGTCTAATATGATTATGTTTTATTATAGAGAGGGTGAGCAAGAAAAACGAAAAAGAAGAGAGACTTATTACAAAGTATAATGAGAAAGTGACAGTATTCATTAACTCTGGTAAGTTATCTGAAATGTGTGTAGACGAAATTTATTATTACAGGCACTAATATATTATTGTAATAAAAGTTATTGGAAGTATGATTGTTTTTCCAGGATGCTTTCGGAATTCGTACTCAATAAAAAAAACCTGGGATACAAAATTATTACCATCTGTAAGTACTAAATGTTTGAGAAACTAATTTAATAGTAAAAAGTGTCATCTTTTTAATATGATTAAATGACGTTATTATTACAGGATTCAAGTAATGCAGATGCATTCAAATGTCATTTAGGATTAATTATAAGCAAACGAGGATTAATTAAAACACATAAGGAATATATTAATTTCTATACTATGCCTAAAATTCAATACGTCAATTTGAATAGGAATTTAGAGATTGAGCTTTCCACTACAAATTCCATTTTATATTCTTATTTTCTGAACAATGGCATCGCAATTTCGAAAGATCAGGCACATGAGCTATTTGAATCTGTACGGTTTATTATTCCAGATATACGCTCACCAAACTTTGATATTAATGCTGATGCATTTCAAGCCATGCATTTTAATATCTCTATTCCGTTGGTTGAAATAAGCTTTGATAGTATTAGTCCATCTGACGAACTAATCCAAACGCTAGAAAGTGCAGTGCAAAATACAAACCCATATCTTTTATTGTGCAAAGCGTTTGAAAAGTTTGGAGACTTAATTCCTTGCAAAATAATTATTGGAAAGAAGCTAACGCGTAATTGTCAAGAATTTTCATTAATGCAATATGATAATGTTGATCAATTTATGGAAATTCCGTTAAAGAAGGTTACTGATGAAAACAATAGCGAATTTCAAGATGTTCTAAATGAATGGAAAACCCTTCTTTTTCGATATGGATTTGACTCAACCTATTTAATTGGAAACGAAGAATGCGTTAAAATCGAACATATTGAAGAATGGATGTCAAAAGAAGACTTGCAGCTAGAAATCATAAAATATTTAGATCTGAAACCAACTTATAAAATCTTCAATCATTCGATGTGCAAGAAGATTGAAAAATGTTTTATGAAAGAAAATCAGGTCTTAATGACTGGTTATATTAAAATCGATAGTATTAATATCTGCAATTATTATGTCGAATTTGACACTCCATTGCAGAGTGACAACTATCAGATTTTTGGTTTAATAACGAACAATAATTCGAAGATTTCGAAGAATTCCATCGTCAAATTCGAGTCTTTAACAAAACATGGATTTGTGGCTATTTTTAAAAGGTCGAACTTTTACATTTACTTTAATCGATATATTATTTACTTTGTTGTAATTTATTATTTTTGTATTTCCATACACAGTTTTGATGACAAAAAAGTATGTGATTATAATGTTTCCTGGATGATGATCGGGATCCCTAGAGTGGTGGGATTTTATAGTATTCACACTCGTGATCTCGCGATATTATACGAGCGAGAAGTAAACATCAACATTTCCTCCGAGGTGAAAGAATACGAAATTCGATTATATTTTTCATCCCTTTTACGTTCAATTTATTTCTTAAGCACACGTATTGAGTTTCCAAAAGATTCGAATGCCCCTTTTATAGAAACTCAATACTTGGAAGAAACCAGGGTCGTAAAATTGATCAACAAAGACGAAGATATTAATAAGAAAGTTGATAACTTTGTATTTCATTATATATTTTACTCATTTCCTTCATATCAGGACTGGATTATTCCTGACCTTATAATGCTTTCAAATAAGAAATACTCGCCAGAGAAATCAAACTTATGGGAATTTTCATTCCAGAATCCCTATAGATTATATGGAAAAAATCTGGGGCACACTATTCCGCAAACTTGATGACGTAAATGAAGTTTTATTTGATTTGATTTTTAACTGTCTTTATTATCATAACAATATTATATATTTATTTTTTCCTATTCTATCTTGTGCATTTATTAGAGTTTTTAACTCTTTTTTCCGCAATTTTGTATATTGTAACTATGTCACCTCATACCTCATATCAATAATTATAAGGAATAATTTTGAGGGTTTTTATTTTTGCTTTTATTAAAGGTTTCAGAAATAGTTTTTTATTTCGTGAAAGTTTTGTCATTATATTGTCTGTTAAGATTTTTAAAAATATTAAATTAGTATGTCATTGAAGTCTTTGTGAATGTCAGTTATTAACCTTAAAACAAAGAAAAAAAAACCAAAGGGGAGTTATTGAATGCTATTGTGTTATTTCAAATAATTCAAATAAACCGATCATATAGGAGTTATCTATAAAGCAATTTCGAACCCGTATTACTGAGCATTAAAAATAAATGTAGTTGATTGAAAAAAATTTTTTTTGTGATAGAACAAAAAATCAAATGCCTACTTGCCATATATTCTACATATTATGAGTAGTTTCCTAAAAGAATGGTTTATTCGTATTTTACATTTAATTATTTAGTCAGATTTTGTTAATGCATATTAAGCACGGCATGATCAAAGTAAGTCCTTATTATCAATCTAATTTAAATTATCGGAAGGCGAGTAAATACTTGGTTATATTAATACATACGTGTATTAAAGGTGGAATTTGATAAACATGCTCTTTTATATTGTACTTTATTTTGAATTAATTTCAGTTGATTCTTGTGAATGTGTTTTTTTTCGTTCTCTAATAGTAAGGAAAACACAATATTAATTAAGAACCCCGCTTATGTGAAACTAAGTAAAGAACAAAAAAAATTTTTTTAAATAATTATCTAGGTATATGACCAATTGCTTTCAAATTCAAAACTTTTTGTCTCAAATTCCTTTGCTTCTGGTCACCATTCGACAAAAGGTCAAAAATTGAAGATATATTATCATATTCAATAATACTCCATGTTCGTGTATCCTTTAATGATTTTACCCACTCAGATATATCATCTGTACGATAACTTTCCTCACGCCCCCCGATAATATTACGATACCCTTCACTTGTTGGTACAAGCGGATTTTCACTTAGTTCCCTTATTCCTTTATCTATGGTAAACGTTCATGTTAGATTGCGTTAATAAGCTTTCTATTAAAATAAACAAATTCTATCATTTCATACTTGATTCTTCCGAATTAATTGCTTGATCAATGATTTTCCCACCAAAAGTTATTTTCTTAGCATAAAATTGACCATATTTTTTTGTCAATTCTTCGAGATTCACAAGTTGTTGCTGAATTGATAATTTTTCGTTTACTGCCACTTCTATTTCTTGTATAAACTCTTGCGAAATTACAATGTCCTGAATTGAAAATTCGATATATGCCTTTGATATTTCTAAGACTTTGTAGCGGATTGGAAGATGGGACTCTTTTAGTAGTTCATCAGAATCCATTTGTGCATTAATCGAAGATAGCCATGGTAATATTGTGTCGCTATAAATTTTAAAATCTAATGGGCACACTAAGTTGCGTATGCGCAGGTGTTCTAAATGGCTATAACAGCTGCTTGTGGATTGAATTAAGCTGGAAAGTTTTTCACATGTAAATTTGCCAATCTTGACCCCAAACGCCCCGACCTTTCCTTTAATTGTACATTTATTAGTTATTTTGAATCCGTATTCACAAAGCTGCATTAGTGTTGACCAATCAGGATTCTCCGGCTTAACAACAATTTTTATCGAATTGTCAATGAGAATGCTTTCCCAATTGTTATTTTCCTCATTTATTATAATTCCATGTTTAGGGTCAATAAAAAAACAATTGCTACGTATGTCTGGACCATTTTTATATTTATGAAACTGGTCTTCCAATATTTTCCGAACTTGCAATAGAGATATATCCTGAGGCAAATTTACTTTAAATTTAGAGTCGTTAAAATCGACAGAAATCGAAATATCCTTAGAAGATAACTGAAATATTTGAGTGATTCAATCATATAAATTAGGAATTCTTCACATAAACTAATACAAAGTTAACTAAATTCTTACTTTTGAATTTCGACGTTTTTCTTTGATCTCGAGCAAAGTTTTATCAGCAAGCCTTATTAAATCTTCGAAAGATTTTACTGATTGATTCACTCCAGAGACACCAATACTGACTGTAACAGGAAGTCTTTTGTCATAATAAAAGAAAGGATGATTTTCCACAGAAATACAAATCTCATCAGCAATACTTGTAGCCATTTTATAGTCCGTCTGTTTGAGAACAATTATAAATTCATCTCCTCCAAATCGAGCAAATACATCTCCAGAACGAATGTGTTTTGATCGAATTAAACGTGCCACCTCTTTTAAACAATAATCTCCAGTTTTATGATCATTTTTATTATTTATATCAGAAAAATTATCCATATCCAGAAACAAAATGCTTAAATTTGATGTTCTTCCTTCAGCACACTTGAATTCCTTTTTTAATGTTTTTAACAAATAACATCTGCTGTAAACTTCCGTAAGTGAATCTTTGTCTATAGCAGGATGATAACTGAGAATACATTTCCCTATTTTTATTGATGCCTCTTTATCTAAATAATAGGGGTCGGCTAATAAAACCTCATTATTATCAATAACAACTTTGGACGAATTCACACTAACGATTGAAATGCGTTCATTTTCATATATTATTATCGCATGTCTTTCGGAAACTTCTTGATCTCTAATAATAATATCATTTGTCAAACTTCTCCCCAAATGTGTTTCATATTGGGTCAAGAAAAAGCATTCATAAAGAGGAGAACCATAAAGGACCATTAAGCTAGCATTCGAAAGATCCTCATTATTTATATCTGTGAAAGGCGTTTTCCTAAAACAAATTTCAGGGATATAATCCGAATTTTGTCGAAATTTATGATCAATGTCTACTTTTCTAAGACAATTTTTGACTTCTTCGGCTGATGGTCGGTTTTCTCTGATTTTATTCCACAAATTACAATAAAGTTCTTTATAATCTACGGGGGTATCCTGAATGGGAATTTCCCTAATTCCATGAAAAAGATAGTTTCTCAATTCATCTGATGAATGTTCCTTAAAAGGAGCAATACCACTTGATATCTCCCATAACAAAAACCCAAGACAATAAAGGTCCGAAAGTTTATCATCAGAGGTTACCGGATCAACATATGCTATCATATCAGGGTCAAGAAATGTCGCGGAATTTTGATTAGATTCATCAACCATTATAGATGAACCGAAGCCCGTAATCAATAAATTATCGTTGCGAAACAATACATTTCTAGGAGTCTGTTCATTATATTTTTATGCAAATTAACTGAAGGTTTTTA